TATTTTTGGTGGGGGAAGGGTATGTGACGTTGTGACTATGTTACTGTAATGTTATAATCAACTATTTTCCTAAACCCAAAACTGACAGTTTATCACCAATGTTATAACGTTTTGGTAACGTTGTGAAGTGCTGGAGCTGAAAATATCTGCACTGTTTAATTACAATTTATTTTCGTATTTTTTTAAAAATTGAGAATCACTAATTTAGTTGACGTATGCACTTTTTAATGCTTTCCTGGAATTTATTATCCATTTTCTCTTAATGTAACATTACCATGAAAAACATTTGCAACGTTACAAGGTAACGTTGCGAGCACGTTAGTTGAAATCTACAAAAACCGTTTTTGCAGGCTTTATATAACGTTATAGCAACATCATTTTGTTCGCCGGGTGTGTCCTGGATATGACGAAAATTACATCCGACAGCAAGGTCATGAAACAACCTCTTAATTGCTGTAGTGCCCAGGTTTACACTAGCCCAAATTGGTAACACCTTTTAGGGTTCCAACTAAATAGTTAATCCACAAACTGAGGTTAAAACACAAAGCAGAAAAATACATTTTTACAATGAATATACCAGCCACAGATTTCCATGGTAAAAAAATTACCATCAATACATTTTTGTTAAAAAAAATTATTAGTAATAAATTTTGTAAAAAAAATTTCTACTAATACATTTTTCTTAAAAAAAAATTACTACAAGCAATGCGTAACAAAACAAAACAAAAAAACAAAAAATCAAACAAAAAGTTAGTAATAAATTTTTGTAACAGAAATTACTAATTATTAATGCATTGAAGAAAATTAAATTTCGACATTAAATGATCCATAGGGAGTTGCCGCAAACTTGTCAGCCGGGTACATTATCTAATTTCATGTTATTGCAATATCATTAACTCCGCTAGAATAAGAATTGTTATTATTACTATGCTACGTGAAAAAATGGCATGTTTTAATAATTAACTTTAATAATAACTCATAATAAAAAATTATAATAATAACTTTAATATGGTAACGTTGAGAAGTCTTGGAGGTGAAGAATTCTGCACCAGTCAAATAACATCCGAATAGGTTTTCTTTACTTAAACCTGAGTAATTAAATTTCATGGTCATCCCAGTAATGCTGTTAATTATCCCAAATAAATCCGCTTCTCGGATTATAAGGAAAGTTTTTTTCAAGGCTTCAAGGCGATTAACGGTAATAAAATTTTGAGCGGCAAAAGGGTTATCATTAGAATGTATAACATATATTTTCATATGTTTTAATTGTGAATAATTGAATATTATATATATATATATATATATATATATATATATATATATATATAAATAAAGATAATAAATCCGTTGGTATATAATCCAAGTGGATGCTAGTAATATAAAATATTAAAACTGACCCACAAAAAAGAGCTCAATGTATTTATTATTATACACAATAAAATACAAAATCACCTCATATGGGGAATTAACTTATAAGACGAATTTTAATTTTTCGGCGGTTAAAATAAACATATTCTCCATATGAGGTGATTTTGGATTTTATTGTGTATTTATATATATATATATATATATATATAAATTCTATATATATATTATATATGTGCGGTGCTTATTGGAAAACGCTCAATATCAGTGATAGATCTAATATATTTAGTTGAATGGATATGAATTTTTGACCGTCCGTTTCACGCTTATGCGATCATCAGACAAACTGTCTGAGGATCATATAAACGTGAAACTGGCAAACTCATATCCATATCCATTCAAATATATATATATATATATATATATATATATATATATATATATATATATATATATATATATATATATATATTTATGGTATACTATATTTATGGGTAAAAGTACTCAATATAAGAGATAGAGCCTATGTAAACACAAGTAAATGTAATAATAATATTAATAATAATCAGCAACAAATAAATAAGTAATCAATAATAAATATTGTGTAAAAAGTTAACAATACTATAAAAATGCAACAATTACAGCATTCAGATCCACAATTATTCTTACATAACTGCCCATAGAATAATTTGAAACATAGCTGTTACCATTTCCCCAATAACCGTTAGGATAATAATACCTTGCTACCCATAATGCACCATCGGCTAGCATATTTACACCTTTGTGCAAATTGATTGAAACAAAAGGAATAATTCCGTTATTATTTACTTTTTTCGTATTTTTCCAATGAAACATGGCCCAGTGCATATGTTAGTACTTCGTATGTCCATTCCACGAAGTCGTTCCTTGCAGATTGACCACAGATTCTTGATTGGATTTAAATCAGGAGAGTTCCGAGTGAATCTAAAGTACTTTGATTTGTTCACTGGTAAGGCTTGCCAGTGTGTTCGTGCAGCGTTAAAATTTTCGTACGCTTCTTTGGAATAACGTCCATCGCAGACAATATCCGTAAGACAACTAATCGACAGTCGAGATAACAGTGTTTAGGACCGATAAAAAACTGTTGCAATCACGG